AAAATAACCCAGTAGGTAGTATGCTGGATACCTAGTAGATACCTATATAGATACCTAATAAATAGTATGTAGAATATTTTACATAATAAAGCATATATATTGACACACAGACGTAATCCTCCATAGTATTTTATTTTGCCATATTTTAATTCCCAAGGGAATTAGATACATAATGTTCTATGAATATTGTAGATATACAATGTCAACAATGTAAAGTCTAGTTCATACAAAGACAATCAAAAGTTAAAGACAAAAGAGAAAAAAAAACTAAGGAGAAAATCTTATGCTGATGTCTTTGTGTGAACCAGACTTTATTTACACGAGTAATCAGGGACAAAACAATTACGGGAAAGTCTCCATTAATGTTATTAGTATTGGTCTTCCTGTGGAGACTCCCCCTGAATTTTGTGACTGATCACTCGTGCAAACTAGACTTACAATACTAGTACTTGACTGTAATGTTTTGAAASACAAGTCTAAATTTGTCAGTTTACTACTAAGTATCAAGTCTTGATGTTTCGACATCATTTTATTTCCAAAAATCATACCGCAAACGAGTTGAAACATCAAGTAAGTAGTCAAACACAAATGAATCAAGACGAGCCGTTGTCAATTGTAAACTGTCTTTTCACTAATGACTGACTTGTCTTGATTCCTTTGAGTGCAACTACTGAGGAAAAAATGCAAGTTTGCTGCCATTGACAAATTTAGACTTGCTATCCAGTCAAGTTTATRTGAACGAAATGTGAGAATATTTTAAGGCCCATGACCATCCCTGAACCTTTGAAATATTCATAACTTGCCATTTGATTATAAACTTTTCAGAAAGCTATATTTAAAATTTTACAAATTTTGAAAATGATTAAAGGATTGCAAAGGTTTTTAAGATGCACATGGGCCTTTAACCAATAARATATTGTAATCATGAAKTTTTACCAGACTGTGAAATAGTTRAGCTGACAGCAAATGCTTTGAAGGGAGYCCATGTCTTATTGAATATTAAATACACCACAATTTAACTATCTGGWGTGAATGTTTTAAGCAATGGAGTTGTTGTATTACTATCCACATGTAAGATGTTTCAAGGAAGACTGGAGTAGTTGCCTGTTACTGAATTTCTTCCAAGTGTAGAAACAACTAGGATTTATAGGTAGTCATCAATATTTCTGTTCATTTGCAGTTTAATAGGACTTCTATGCAAAATCTTGAAATATCAGGCAACTAGAACAGTTTTCCCAGCACGYAAACATGCAGACTATAATACACCACACAACCACTTCTCCATTTCACAGTCTGGTTATAAACACTTGTGAAATATAAGTCTAGTTTTTACTTGGAGGCAGGCAAATGCTAACAGTGATACTCAGCATTACCCCATGAACACTAACATTAGAGYGATTTCCATAAAACTGTGCGAATATATCAAGTATAATAACCATTGTGAAATAGGTGGTAATACATCAGTAAAAACAAAACATTGAAAATTATTCAATGACAAAAGAGAGAAATAAAAAAAAGTGTGCTAGACAGGTTTATGAAAGCCACTCTAATGCYTTGTAAAACTGGACATAATGCAGGCTTCAAATTGCGATTTAAGTCATTCCTAAGACATGAAAACAGAACTAAGGAGAGAATAATCAATGTCAAGCATAGGCAAATAAAAAGAGAATGTTTTTGCCTATGCTTGCATCAACAGAAAATTGCTTTAGCATCAATAAACAACAAAAACACAAACTTAAACAGAGGGGAAGGACACATTGTGACAGGGTATTCCAAGACTTACGCAAAGTTCAAATAGCAGATTAATGAAAAATCTTGTAATAATGTAAATGTAAAATCTTGCAATATGCATCAATGTATCAAATGCATTTAGAATCAATATAAAAATAAGATGACAAAAAATACTTGAACTTCGCCTTGTCTTGATATGAAAGRAGGTTTTAGATGAATAGGAAAAGTGGCAAGTTTAAGATGAATGGGAAATGTAGAGTGGGAAGGAAGGCTACCAAGATCTGTTTGTCTTGGTAGGAAAGAGGCGAGAATAAATTTTTTATTGTCAGAAAAAAATGCAGTGTGGAATCCAATAGGTTGGCTGGTACCATGACAACGGCAAACACGACCTGCAAACAATAATATCAGCAATCAGACTATTAATATAAAATATTTAATCTTATAAAATATCATGAACCTGGTTAGCTTTGTAGATGCTCAAACTCTACTTTGRGAAGGAATGACTCCTTACTTTTTAAAAAAGGAGTGGAWTGCTAAYCGTGAACCATCTCTGAAAGGGACSYAACTCCTGTAATCATAATCTCATAAAGGACCACATATTTTATAAACAAGAAAATTTAGATATTGTTAAAGAAGTCTGTTCTACATTCTTGTTCATTCTTATGTCAAGACAACAATTATTCTGAGCCTTCATGATGAGGGAGTTATGCATGATTCAAGTTTATTCCCAGGGAAGGGAGTTGGGTGAGGCGGGAGTATATCTACATGTAGGACATAAAGAGGTCCCAGGACATGGGTATTTTGACTACTCTTTTGGGGTCTAGTAATGATTTTAACCGCAGGAAGTAGTACATATAAAGTCATGCTCATTAGAGCAGCTGTTCGGCCTCCTTCCCCATTCTCTTGACCAGAACACTTTGATTAAATCTTATACATTACTATAAGACTCAAAAGTCCTCATATTAAACCCATGAAACAATGTATTAGTCAAGTCGTAATACAACAATCAAATATCCCCCAGGGGGGGACTCCCTTATAATAATATATGGATAGAGAAAACAATGGCATCAGTAACTATACACCGAGTATCAGTAACTATACACCGAGAAATCTTGTGTGATTGGCCTACAGCCAAGCACTCTCTACATGTAAATAAAAACCATATCGGACGTCTTGTGTACTTGGCCTACTGCCAAGCACTCCTTAATTGTAAACTGAAAAAATGTTGTGTGCTTCGCTTAGCTAAGCACTCTTGAAATGTAAATAGATCTAAAATTTGATAGTATATAATAAATTATTTCATTGAAAAAAAAAACAAAAAAAAAACAACAAAAAAACTATACACCGAGTACAGCTGTATAATAGTCTAAAATTATTATATATCATTCTACGTTACTCATTTGGACCCAATRTGGAGGAAGTCCTGCACTAGAAACACAATTAAAACTAATAATAAACAATTTCAAAACWCAAACCACGTGGCTTAAACTATATACAAAAATATACGCCTGGAAACGACTGTTTCTCTCTATTTTCCATAAACTTTTCCACAGTTTGGTTATACTTGTGACTCACCTTGTCGAAAACACCGGTTTTTACTTTRCATTCACCGCTGGAAAAGCCCTGAAATAAGTGAAACAAAACAAAGAATCTTCGTCGTGTCCGACGCCATTTTGAATTTACCGCGTGGTTTACGACCGTGCAAACCTGGTAACGATTCGCCACAGGAAACCCACACCGATCTTAGCTCTGGGGTCCATAAGGCATTGCGYGATCTGATGATAAATGTTTTGCGCTGAGCTGCTGGTGAAATCAWAGATGGGCGATTGGAGTGAATGGAGAAATACAAAAAGCGGATAAAAGAKGGACTCRTGAACATATATAAAGCTATTTTTATACCACATAAACGTAGGCAGACATTAGAGTATTTCTGAGAACTCGGTGCAAGCAGACAAACGATGTTTGTTCCTTATGTCTATGCTTATTGATTCTCGATATTTCTTTGCGATTGTGAAAAAAGTTACGACATGTTTGTGCATCATTTGGTAAAAATCATCCCGTTTTGAAGAAGAATGGACGGGGTTTCTTAATAAAGTACTCGACACAGTGACATTCACTAGTCTTTATTGCATTGAATACGCATCAATAATACAGTTTTAAGCATTAACTGATATAACTGGGTAGAGYGCTTTCAATATAGGCGTGAATACAAATAACACTAGTTCAATGTTGCCGTGAGAGGCTATAATAAAACAAACAAACTAAAATTACGCTGATTTTGTACAATTTGCGCAGGTTCYACACTTATACTGAACGCACTCAAACTCACCTATAATATCTACAATAATATATTCCTTTGTACAATAATATTCCCCGTAAGTTATATTGTAAAGAACCTAACGTTCAACCATCCACGATTGAGTTATAGATAGTCGTGCAACGATATGAGCGTCAGTACTCAGCAGTGCCCCCTAGGTTTCCTAAGATGAGGGTAGTATATCAGAAACTTCTCCCATGCCCAATCAAGATATCATTATTTACGTAATTGTCRCCCTCGTGAGTTTCTMYAGGACACAGAAACCTGAAAAACCCACATAACCCGAGCGTTTTAGTTGAGTCGAGGAACTGACAGTATTTACTAATTACACTTATCATAATTATCTATGAAATACCTATTTTTGTCYCGATTTTGTAAAGTTGTTATTTTCATGTTATCTTCATTTGTGAAAATAACACATTCGAAGTTTCTCTATATAGTAGAAGCTTAAGAAAATAGGTATTTTACAACATAATCTGCTCTTATATGCAATAACAAGATAAACAGAATATTACATGGTCGCTTGGAGATACGAATTTTATCTTGTCGTTACGCTCACTCGTGGCAGATCTTTTCACAACACTCGAAGATAAAATCAGTATCTCCGCGCGCCCATGTAATATCCTCTATTTAACACATGAAAAAATAGTTAAAACAAAAATAGTGGTAGATTAGCTACTAGGAGTGCAAACCTTAGAGTGAGGTCAAAAAACCTGTGAGATAGATATTACACTAATACAYCTTAGTACACTCTAATTCCATTGTTCACGGATTATATGTTTTTTTTCATGAATTTTATGACTTCACTCTAAGCGCAAAGTGAAACGATTCTAGTTATGGATTTTAGTGATATCATAACATACTTTAAACAATATTTACATCATAAATCTAACAGCGTCTGAAATTGGAAATAAACGAAAATAATGAGACGCGTAAGCTCTTTACGTAAACATAGATTCCCGTATCGCTGACTTACCCACAATCGTGGACATAAATACTTGACAATTTTTCGCTGGAGCATTACAAATACTGTATCGTGTGCATAAACTRAAAATATTCCCCTTCCCTCCCTCCCCTCCCGCATCAATGTTGCAWGCAGGGGTTAATGAATGGACAACCAATGAAAAGAAAGCCACACAACATTGTATTGGGGGAAGGGGGGCACGAGTAAGGTTTTATCGWCGAAGAATGTTAGAAATTTCGTGCGTGCGTAAAAATTGTCAACATTTATGTCCAAGATTGTAGATTATATTCTTTTGATTTCAAATCATTTCCGTTGACCGGTATTGATATGAGAGAAATGAAAGTATCAAAAACTCGTAATCTTTTAAACGTTAACGCAAATACCCTCTCAAATACTACATTCTTCAAACTTCCTTCATTCTACTGTACACTGTCATGAGAGCTTTATACGTACATAAGACACGTAAGCTCTTTGCGCAAACGTTAATACCCATTTCCCTCAACTTTTTCTTGTTACTAAATTCTACAGTCCATTGTCAAGAGGGAATTGAGTTTACCATAGATAGACACGTAAGCTCTTTCACGTAAAMGTAAACTGCGTGACTATAATTCTTCTCCGTCGCTTCTATTATCCGCAGCCATAGACATGCACTCAACTGGACTAGTAGCATGACGAATCGACGGAGTTCTTGGAAATGACTTCAAACTAAGAGTCTCACTTAGTCTGCGAGAGAACCTGCCTAAYCCACTTCCGGATCGTTCACGTGATGAGAGCATGACGGAAGTAGTAGCTTTAACGGAAAAAGTTTTGCTTCGTTTTGGGTTRCCCAGAACGATCATCTTAAAGTCYCGCCTAAAGTTATCGCTCAGCAAAACGTAGATGATTGGATTCAACACACTGTTGAAATGTCCCAGCCAAAATGAGAAATACGGCACCCCCCTGGGCAGAAGACGAAGGATATGTTGCTGTGACGTCATTAGGTAATGTRTCAGGTGAGTTGGAAGCCAACAAATCGCAAACACWGTCAAAAGAGCGATCAACATCTTTACAGCCTTGTGTCGGAATCGCATGGCGACCTCGCGTGATGCACCTTGGGATTCACCGGGCATTCGGCAGAAGGCTAGTCGATAGACGATGATGGAATTAAGGCCCGCGATAAGTACGACTGGGAAGGCATAAAGAACAACAAAGAGTATAAGGTAGTGAATCCGCAATACAGTTTGTCGTTTCTGTTCGCCAGGTATCCACATGGTACAGTACCATACGCCTTGGCTAGGCTGCGGCACATATATATTCTTATACAAAACAGCATACGGCGACATCAGAACAAAGGACAGTAACCAGATCCACGCGGTAACGACTCTAGGCCTGCGCAGTAGCTTTCCTTTGAGCGGGTAACAAATCGCAAAGAAACGCTCGCAAGAAATGAACAATATTGTCAGTATGGACGCTGCCATAGTAACCACAAATCCATACTGGGAAACTTTGCATATCACGTCTCCTGGCAACCCAGGAATCCAGGATGTCCTAAAGATGTACATGAAGTTCATCGGCGTTACCATGACAATAAACAGGAAGTCAGCCAAACACATGTTCATTATCAAAAGGTTCATGGTATTCCTAAAGCTGCGCCTGCGATACACGACAAATAGACCCAGCGCGTTGCCAGGGATGGCGATCAGGAATGTGATGACGTAAACTATCGTCAAGGAGACCACCAAGCTATCTGGCAGAGCTCTGTAAGTTTGTTCTTGGGTACCGTTAGAAGCTGCAAGAAACGGCACTGTGAATGTGATATACAGACTACAATTTTAATCTGTACGTTCAACAAAACAACAACAAAAATAGCAAGCAACAACATGAGCGACAGAAACACAATAACCACGAAAAAATGGAAAGTCTGGAAATTTTAGGAAATTGAACGGGAAGCGAATGTCATTGAAAACATAGAGTATCTTTAAAGTGYTACTTGCATGAAATTGGCTTTATTTCAGAACTTCAAGCAATACAAATACACGACTCATTTATATCTATTAAAAACAATGATTGTGGGAAAATATTTGTTTTGGAATTATCCCACATCAGAGAAATTTTCATTCAAAAGACGGAAGAACAAAAGGATGGAGTAAATGATGTCATCTACTCCAACTTTTTCTGCCTAAATTATTAAGGATTTGTATCACTATATTCTTGAAATCTGTTGCTTCATGATTATTAGACCCATATGGATAGGTCTATTTGATTTTCAAGTCTTTTCTAATGTTTCGCAATTTTAGTCCAAGTAATCTTTTAAATTTCGGCTGATGAATCAACGTCGAGATGCGGCGCTTAAGAAATCCAAAACGTTTTCTYAGTAAAACAGAAAAGACCATTAAAAAAGCTAAATTCAGGTCCGTCTACACTTGTGTGTATTTGTAGCGTTTTCGTATTATCTCCGTCCCAGAGAAAACGAAAAACAAGTATATAAAACCTCAGTAACGGTGTGGAAAATGCATCATTCTTACCTGAAGAATTGTTCACAGTCATTTTTTTTTGACTCCCTTTGTTTTACTTTACGTTCTTTGCCTTGTACTTTCTCTGGTGATCAATGACTCTTTCTTGTAACGTCTGGTGATTGTAATCTTTATAGCTTGGCTTCCTTGGAAATTTGATCTGCAAAGCAAGCAAACAAAAAGATATTAAGCAAACTAGAAGACATCAAGATCTTAACTTTTTAAAAATACTGCAGGAAAAATCGCTTTTAGGAAATGGTAAAGTGCCATTGTGTACACAAATTTCTGTCAGGATTTTGCGTTCAATTAGCTACGCATTACTTGCGAAGTAACTGAAGTTGCTTAGCATTTTGCRCTTTTCTTTTGAAGGGAATGTTGATGGTTTTTGAAGGTCTGTCTTTTACAAACCTGTAAAAATTGTTATGAAAATAAAATAGGACGTCTAAGGAGCTGCRTTCACACGACACCACCGAAGACTAGGACCGTATCCAGATATTTAATTACGAAATTTATACTGCGCGGCACAGCTGGAATACTATAAAGTGTGGGGCACTCTAGTCTCAAGAAAATGTAATTTTGATCAAYAAAAATCTTTATTATCAGGTGCTTCACTGGTCGTTAAGTCATTTAATTACTATGATAGCTGAGTCCGCCTCCAGAAACCAATGTACMTTTTTTATGATAAACACTTTAAACAGTGTGGCCAGTCGGCGAAAATTCTTGAATCAATCCAAATCGAATCGTTAACAGTTATGACAGTTAAAAGCGGAGTAAAAAACTTTACAAACTTTTATAAAACACTGCATTTGAAAGAAAAACACATGGAGCACTTAGTAAAACAAGRCACTGCTAGATGGGTATTGCGGTAACGGAAACAAAAGAAAAATGAGACACGGGGAAACTTGATAGACTTCCGCTGCAATAAAGTAAGTACGTTTTCTTAAGATAAAAAGAGAAAGAAAACTTATCTTTGTAAAGTCTTCCTCTCGTCTTATTTTTTATCTAACAACTCAATAATACATTGTAAATGAACAGAAATTTTGATAAACAAATTTCTGGTCAAAAGCCGTAGTAAACCTAAGWACCAAACTGGCACCTACAAAAAGATTATCATGAGACAACGTGTCTTTATTTTGAAATTTGCGGTTTTTCAGTTGAAAATTGATAAGTGTTGTTTTATAATTGTCGAAAACACTAGAAGTGTATGGAGATTAGGTGTAATGTCAAAGTATGGAAAAACCTTCTGAAAATATTGTAAATTGAAAGTTACAGTGTCTTTATGGAAAAGCGTGATGTGATTGATCCTATCAGTAAAATCTCTGTAAGATAATTTTCATACTAGTTATATAATATGGAAATAGATTTATAAGTTTTCAGTGAAACAAGTCCATCTTAATTTCCAGGTGATGTAAATTGTTTTCACTTCACTGTAGCTGTGCGGTTGTCATTTTTTAAACTCTACTCATAGAARGTAATAATCGATGAATACGATGATCACATTTAAGGGAGTACATTTTCTGATGAAAAAGTCGAAATCGGATTGAAATAACGAAATGAGGTCTAGTGAAAATCAAACCAAAAATACATGAAATGAATGGACCGTGTACAACAAATTGACAGACCGTATCACAGACCTTCAAAGAGATTGCATCATCGACGCTAAGACTGAAGAGGATTTGGGGTAATCTGTAGTTGATTCATCTGTGGTGAAATGTTAGTGGGTGGTGGTTGGGAAGAGGGGACAATGCACCACCCCTCCCCTAGCCAAAAGTACWTTTACTCAGCGAATGTCAGGGTTAACAAAAGCAGAGCTGATTGATAAGGCAAGTAAACCAGCACCTGGTCATTTCAAGGTTTTTCTATATCTGATTAAATCTGACAGTTAAGCTTTATGATTTAATAGTTTTTCTGTTTAAGTCTTAACGCGTCCTTGGCCAACATCAGTTTTTCATGCAGCAAAGCTGATTTTCTGATCAAAATATTAAAACCATCCGTAAATTGTCATAAAAAATTCTGTTTCCATTATTGAATTAGAATTAAGGGACTTTAACAGTGTCCTCTAAAACAATTTTAAAAAGGAATACTAAAAATATTACTAACTGACGTTATGGACTAGAGTCGTGGTCGCACTTAATGCGAAATAGTCACTAGACTACTAGTTAGAGACAGCGATATTTTTCAGCTTTGTTTTTCTATTTTTATGATGTTTTTCTACTTAAGAATTACACATTATCAATTAGTTTTTTGCTCATGTTAAGTCAAATAACTCTAGAAAGAAGGGGTTAAAATTATTACCAACGATCGAAATATAAATATTCCAGTAATTTCACTCCTTTTTGTGTTGTACCGGGATTTAGGGTTTTATCTCAGCTATCGAAATAAACTCTGAGTGCATCTAAGTCCTACGTAATCTCCCCCTCGAATGAAGAATCAAATGTTTTTCAACTGAAGTTATGACCGCAGCTAAGTTCATCAGAATGTGTATCTYATAACTTCGTCATCAATCTACTACTCACTCAAAGGGCACTTAAGCCAAAAATTACCATTGCAAAAATATTTTTTTCTCGCAAATTGCCTGCGCGTTACTATTATCATTGTTATTTTTCTAGAAAGATCCATAAATACGTTTAATCCGTCTTGAAAAGTGAACAAGGCTAAATTTTCACAAAACAATAACGACTGTAAAGGGAAATATCTAATGCTAAAAATGAAAATCGCGACGAAAAGGGAACAGCCCTTGATTGGAGCTTCTCGAATACTTTGATTGGAGCTTCTCGAACTCTTCGATTGGASATTCTCGAGCACATTGATTGGWGCTTCTYGAACACACTGATTGGAGCTTYTCGAGCACTTAAAGTTCCACAAAAGGGAAATACAGCGTCTAACATTAAGAACGTCAAATATTGWCTTYAAGTCAGTTTTCGAGTGTTTCCGCTTTTTCGATGTGACCAGGGCGTGTGTTTAATGGTTTCTACTTGAAAGAGGTCAGATTTGTATTAAAAGAAGAAATATTTGTACGTCATTACACCTGTATAGTAAATGAACTTGACATGCATTCAATATAGAATCGTCCATTTTTAGAAATGCTGGCGTTTTTTTTGATGGTTGATTCCGCGCGCATTTTTGATTCTCGTTTATCTCTTTCCGCAACTAGTCATACGTTAAGATTTCACATATTTGCGATAATTCACGCACAAATTTATTGATTTGCGTTTTGTTCATTTATTTACTGGTTTATTTATAGATTTAAAATTAATCGTTCACTTTAGTTTGATAATTGCGATAAATCTCGATTCAATTCTGATTTATTTAGGGCATCTGTCACATAAATAAACTTATGACAGATGCAATCATTCATTTATTCGTTCAGCCTTTCATTTAATCATTCATTCAGTCAATAAAGTCATTCTTTGTTTAACCAGTACTCCATTCATTTCCATCCTACAGAACATCATTAATTCATGTCACGTGACCAATGAATCTGTTCACCTATTGATAACCCTAAAATCTTGGACACAAAGCTCAACACAATAAGAAATGTTGCTGTTTATCGTATTGATGTGGCGCTAGTGTTCGACTTCAGTACCCCAAGTCCCCCGAGTCCAGTGTCAGGGGTGGGGTGGGGTGGTGGAGTTGTCTCTTTCTATACCGATACCATTGGGGTCAGGAAGAAGGGAGGAAGTCTTAAGAAATGCCCGAATGCACTAAAAATGTCAACTGTGACCATTGTATAGGTTCGCACATGACTAATCTATCCATCGTTACTTCAGACTATATTCTAGAGAAGAGTTTCTTCCTGTCACACAGTAATGAGTTTTCCAACATAAAATTCCATCAAATCACTTCACTTTACATTACCTATGCCTTAATGCAATTTCATTTCTGAATGAACTATGATTTAACTCTACCCAAATCAAACCAGTGTAATGGAAGCGTGACGATTGGATGAGAGTTAACGTCGAAGATAATTAAGTGATCTCATTTACCAGCGAAAAAAAAACTCTCCAGGATCCGAAGCAAATCACATTTACAAATAATGTCACTTCCAATTTCATAAAAAAATAATGGAAACATGTCAGCCAGACGATTCCTAGACACTGGAGTGTGATTTTTAGATTACTGGAGGCTTCAAATTCCGCTTATTTTTTTCATGTTTTTTTGTGTTTTTTTTTTCTATCTTTATTACTCCCCTTTTCATCTATAATTTTAATCTTCTATTTCTCATCTTAACTCCTTTTAACGCATTAAATTTATTTGTTCTTGTCTCTTGCGTCAATCTCAGTCTCTCATTTTTCCCTTCACACTTTTCATTATCCCTTTCATTTTGTCTCTTTTTTTATTCCTTGATAAATAATAATGCTAGAAAAAACATGTTAGGAAAGTAATTAGAGAAAATATCAATACCCAGTGTAAGGGATTCAAATGAACACAAAAATGAGCAAACATCGATAAACAACACTCAAGGAACAATGATTAAAAAAATACCTTCCAGTACCTTCGAGCAGAAATCGTCTCAGTTTCCTGAAGCTTAAAGATGTTTACAGTCAAAGTGCTGTCTTCACGCCAAATAAAAAATCCGTTTCATCAATGTTCATTCACCCCCAAGAATTGCTCACCGGTTGACGGAACTATGAGTCGCCAGCTTGGCAATGCGGTTGACATCAATTTTACACCATCACTCCCCATTAGATAAATTGAGAATTTAACCAATGAAAACATGACAGGAAGCAATCTCTATGACATCATCATGTAGTCAGCCAATCATAATTCATGAATATGTGACGTGTTTCGATGTGATTAACCAATCACAGACTGAAGTTTCCAGGAAGCTTTACAACTGACAGAATATCATGTTGACTAAAGTCAATAAGTATTTGGAGGATTTTGGAGTAAAAAAGCTTTGTATGAAAAGAAAGGACACTTATTCGCTGGGCAAATATGAACAAGTGTTATTATCAATTCCATATTACTCAACCTAAAGAGATTCCGTTCGATATAGTTATAAGAGTTGTCAACTCACATTTCAAATAATGACTTAAGAAAGACAAACACGACAGTAAAAAAGTGTCAACTTTATCTTAACTTGGAAAATTTTACGATAAAGATGAAGATAAAATCTTGATTTTTTGCTGAAACGGAAGTTTATATAACTCACATAATGTACATCGTGTTTAACGGGTGGTTCTACYATTGTATTTCTCTAAAGAACAAATTATATTTGTCTTGGGAGGAAGGATATTGTTGTTTCAAGTATTGTAACTTGAATGTGAACTAATGACAGCGATCGCATGTACTTGAAACGACTGCAAAGTCATCAGAAATAAAAAAATCTATTCAGATCTCTTGTTCAGATATATATTCATTTGGATATTTCTTTCCGTAGTTCTTCTCTTTCTGTCATTTCTTTTYCCGCTTCTCATTCAATAAGGAATTCAATTCGTTTATTGATCMATTTCATTCATCCACATTCTATCTGTTTTATCATTATTCTATTCATTTCGTCCTTCATTCATTTGTAAGTGTATTCATTTGTTCATCTATTCATTTTCTCTCCATTCTATCTGTTCATTCATTCGTCCAGCCATTYATTTTTTGTTCATATATTCATTTATTTAATTATTTAAATTCCTCTTCCCTTCTAGTTATTTAAGAGTAACAATTCCCCATCCTTCCCTCTGTGCAACCAAAGCCATACAAAAMACTCCTAAGGTGTTAAGTGCAATATCACTCCAACGAGTTTAACGCCCTCTCTCTGAGTGAGTGGACTCTATTTTATCTAATTTGAAAAAACCTCGTATATATCATGCCACTCTATAAATAGACAATCAGCCTGACAGAACGTCTCAGCAAGAATTTATTATTCAATGATCACTCAGTTTAATTGCGTCGCTTATCTAATTCGTTCTCGTTATGCATTTTCTCTGGCATTTTTACTTTTTTCATTTTTACTTTCGCTTATAGTATTATTTCACTTATATATTCCGTCGTTCGTTTATTTTCCTGAGCAAAAGAAGATTGTGAAAGATTAGTTTTAAGATTGGTCTACCAAGACCWACTCATTGGACACTAATAGCTTTCACAGCCGGACAACGGAGCAATCTATCCTCACCCTTGAACTGGCGGCCGGTATATTTTCAATGCGATCAATATCGTAGTCTGTTGCTAACTGTGAGCTTTGAGCTATAACACATGGTTTAGACCACAGGGGATAATGATATTTTATATTGATGAATATTGTTGAGCGCAGAGAGCATTCAGTAAATACTTGAATGCCTGTAATTAGAAATTGCGCGCATGTATTGCGCTAAGGCCTTCGTATTCAATTAAGTGCAGAGAGCCACATTAAGTAATTTCTCGAATGCCTGTAATTAGAAATTGCGAGCATTTATTGCGCAAAGGCCTTCGTATTCTATTGCTTAAATTTTTTACGATTTCTTGAAAAACAAAATATCAATAATAATAATTATTATAATTATGATATAAACACAATAATAATATTAGTAATAACACTGAAAATATCCGGTGTAAAATTCATTAGCCCCCCAAAAAACTCTAACAATTTTACAAAAGGTAAGATGTTCCGGCGATCATGAAAGGGAWCATGAGAGCTTAGACTGCAAACACTTAAAGCGTGAAAAAGTGCAAACCAAAGAGTTCTGATTAGAGAATAATAATTCGGAAGAACTTAGATCTATTTAATTTGTTGACCTTGTCAATCTTTTAGAATACAAGCCGCACTGGAAACCATGGAAAACTTTACTAATTTGAACCGAATTMTACGTTTTTCTTTGTTTTGTATTGTCTCATTTACACCTTATTGCGCTATCTAACACCATTTGGCTAGCAGTTTTCTTTACACGAATTGATTGTTCCGCTACAGTGTTTGTATAATAATATTTTTTTTAACCCCACTCCAAGAACTATACTATTAAAAATCAACAGTGATCTAATAGTCAAGATGTATAACAGTTCAATAGCTTTAAACGAAAACAATAGAGWAAGCGACCACTAACTGGTGTATTGGTGTGTAACTGTAAACCCTTGAAACAAAACTATTAAAGGGTGATAGTCCAATAGACACAAAAGAAAACAATGGAATTGTAYGTGTACAAGTGTCGACCCGTGAAACACAAATTGACTATTAAAATGTCATAGTCTAATAGAAAAAAAGAAAACAATGAAATTAGTACGTACTAAGGTGTATTAGTGAAATATCTATTTCACGGATTTATGGATCMACTTTGCCTAAAGTGCGAAAGGAAAAGTACTGTAAACACACAGTCATTTTCTATCTTCATTAAAACCACATTACAAAAGCCGTCAAAATAAAATTGTTTTTCAAAAGAGACAGACAACGAAGATGAAAAAACGAACGTTATAATACTCACCAAAAAATCAAACAAAAAGCTGTAAATTCTCTCTTAAAATCCATTCAAACTTCAGCACGTACAAAACACACTGTCAGCCGCGAAGAAAAGTCCAAAGTACTCTTTCTCATTTCCACCAAGGTTCAAAAACCGGAAAAAGTCATTTATATTAATAGCATTTCCGATTCAATAACACAACTTGTTTTATTAAAGTTCAATTACGCCTCAGGTACCGCAATCTTTATCAGCGCGACATCAAGTAAATCTTATCAATACAATGATGGCATATTACTGGCCAACACATCCAATACATGATAGCACTTGTTGGGAAAACTAAAAACAATTGAATAGACTTCATTTTTAATCTTCAATCATTTCAAACCTTTAAGGGTTCTCTCGGCTGGGGCTAAAAACTCTCATTTCCACTCAAGTCGCTCGTGATTGGTCGGTTTGGGGGAGACAAAGTCGTCTTTGATTGGTCAATTTAACCAATGACGTAGTCCAAGATGGAGGTCCTACATTTTAATATATTTTGCTAACGGAAATAACATTTTAATAAGTATTTCAAGGGGAACATATTTTGTTGTTGTTATGGTTTTTTTTTGCCATGATTATGATAAATGAGATAACGTTCATCTGCCTAAGTTTCCTATATTTAAGTAGCCAATAAATTCTTTCCAATCTATACAAATTTGTTTTGTTGATGAGATTTGAGATAATGATAAACACAGATAAATAGCAGTTAGGAATTCTCTGGTACTAAAAATTACACAATATCATTCTGTACCAAATCATATAGTAATTGGTCTTCAAACTAACGCCATGTCAAGAAATCCAAAATTTATTCTGAAGTTAACACATAAATCATACGATTATCAAGAAATCCTCAATACTCACACAATGTACACACCAARTCCGAACTTTGMACASAAGTTATACCAAGAAATCACACGCGCAMAATGTCACGTGATTAGCAAACCAACAGAAATCACGCACACAGAGTCACGCGATTAAAATAGTCACGCATATCACGCACACAAATCTATCATACACACAACATYACGCGATCACAAATCACAAAATCAAATAACGCATACTGTCTCTGCCATGGAGTACCATAGAAAACATGGGTTTATGAAAATAAACCTAATTAAGGTCTTTCACAGTATGCTYTCTAGAACAAAGGCGAGCCGTACCAAATATTTTCACAAATTTGTTCTTTATCTATATATATTCCCAGCTGTTGAAATTACTTACAAATGATGTGTTTTGATCGATAATTAAATCCTTTTCCTGGTCAATTTGATTTCGTAGCGGTTTATGTGTTGCTTTTCATTTTTACGGCAATTCATTCATCGCTCAAGCTCAGTTGGCTCAAAATGTGCTGGAAAGTTTGCTTGGGTGTCCTTTAAGTTGATGTTGACACAGCGTAAACAGCGTAAATGYTTGTCCTTCTAAATCCCCCAAATTGATTCTTGGATTGCATTTCTAAAAGTATTCATAGTCCCTGAGTCTATTGTTTGTGCGATTGTTAATGAGGATTTGCGATAAATCTGAATCATGCTGTCAGTATTACACAGATAGCATAACTTATACATGACAAAACACGTCTTTTTTTCGTGAATAGAAATAGCAGTTGTCATTTTGCTCCAGGTAGTTTGAATTTTATGAATTGCCACTAATACAAATGGATCGAAATAAACTAATTTAGAGCAAAACAACGATTTGTTTCTCACAAAAATCAGATTTGCGTCTGTGAGTTCGTCTCGAAACGGAAATTTAACCTTTTGCACATTTAATCGTTTTTCTTTTTAATGTATAAAGTATCAAATTTATTAATAATTCAAAAAAAGAAAGAAAATAGAGATTTTCAAAGTCGGAATAGTAAGCAAAAATTATATAACTTTACTTTTGAGAGGACGTACTAATCGTCATTTAGAAAAAAATTTTATTATATACATGAATATATTTAAAAACGTAATGGCAATTTCCGCTAAATGCATAGGTAAACGCAACAATCGTACCAATTTTGCAAAAAGGCTTTATTAAAAGTCATTAGAATTATTATTTTATCTTAGAATTGAAACAATCTGCGCCAGACTCTAAAACGCTAGATAAAAGTGATAATTGTATTATATATATGTATAGATTGGTGTTTACTATCAGACGTATTAAATAAAAGGCGCCCTAGAAAGGACAACATTGCATGGGATTATTCCCAAATGCGGTTATTTTGAGCAACTGTTTTTCAATAAATCTATTTTGGTTCTCAATTCAATTTTATTAATATACACTAAGGAAATTAAGGAAATGCTTCAACAAAAAGTCCGGTGAACTAGAGTTCTTATTTGATTATAAACTGCATTTAAGCCAAAATATATGAATTGTGCTTTTGTCTTTTTGATTTAAACTAATACTCAAAGCAAAAAAGCTATCAAATGTTTTAAATTTYTCGCAATTTTGATACTTGYGCGTGTTCTGATAAAGCATACTTCAAGACAAGAGCAGCGCGCGCTCTCAATCAAAAAGTTTATCATAAATTTATTGAAAATATTGACGGTATACAGACGGGTCTTGAATACTTTTCTTGAAGGTAAGCACGACAAATAAAAATAAACCAACCATCAGATGCATGGAATATAGAAATAGCCGAGTCTTTAATAAAGCTCTCCTTGTACCCAAAATAAGTCCTAAACGTTGCAGTTAGCATCCCTATTAAGAAAGGCTAGATAAACCAACTAAACTAAAGCCACTTTTATATTATCTTAGAAAGGTAACCGCAAAAAATTCGCGGTTTTTTTTATATAATACAAGTACTTTATTGAACGAATTTGAGTAGAGAAATGACAATAATTATTTTTTGCGAAAAAGATTTAAAGTTTTATACAAAGAACTAAAGTTTACCTTGAGGCATATAGTCTAAAAGGAGTGTACAGAATTAAGTGTTTTAGAAAAATAAAAGATTCCTGAAGAAGCCGAAAAAGATCTTTTTGATATACACCAATCGATGCGTGCATTATATATTTCACCAACATCAAGAATGAGTGATAACTAGAGTCACTGGATGAACAGACAAAGGCTGATATCACGTTTAGTGCCATACTTAAAATCTACTCTAGCAAAAATCACTCACTTGCTTAGAACTCAAAGTGACGAGCGAAARGACTCAGAAGGCTTCCAGAGCTTGATTCGCACTACTGATTCCAAATACTGCTCCCTGAKGAAGCCGTTAGATGCACACGAAGCTAAGATCTGATGATTCGGTCCCAATCTCAATATTCTATGGCAGGTGTTTATCGATATAGAAGAACACTGATTGACAGTCCTTAGTGGTTGCAATCAAATCCATTAAACCAAATGAGCACACAAGCGGACATCGTCTTTTTCAATCCATAAACACCATGGGGGAAAAGCGAGAGATTCGGACACGACGCGCAAATTTCGATGTAGAAATCCCAATCAAGAACAAGGCCATTAGAGGGATCTTTTAACACTCTTACAGCTCTTAACAGAGCATCAGTCATTTGGCAAACCAGTGACGTAAATTAACCAATTAGAAGTGAAAAACACGGCAGATTATTGATGTGACGTTTTGATATCGGTTTATAAACAASGGGAAACTTAGACTYCTATTGAAGGCGTTATGAAGTGACTTCCACGCATTTAGGCTTGCGGAAGACAATCTACCAAAAGGTTTTCATCTTAGATTATTTCATAATGTTGAAACAGCGCGTGGAATAATGCATTCCCAGTCTATAGGAAACGGTGTAATACGCTTAAAAAGCTTAAGCCCGGTATCATATACAGTTGTTTGATAGTGAYGGTGATTGTGGTAGTWTGGATTGATAATATTTGGGGGGAATTCCGTCGTGATTGATATACAGGTGCCGAAATGATGGCATTGATCAAACTTGAATATTGAGATAATTCCTATACAATATACGATTTAAAAATTAAAAACAATTTTTACACTGCGACATAAAAGAAAGAATGAAAACACTGGTAGGCTTTCGATTGGTTAAGAGTGC